CCTTACTTTTACTTTTGACAAAGGAGTACTGGGAAATGAGTCCACCATAGAGAATTAAAGGATTTGTCTGGGCTCCGGATGTATGGGATGTACTCCGAAACCTTGTGTATCAAACTACATGATTAAATAAACCTAAAACCTTGTATAGCTAACTATTAAAGCTTTTTTTTTGGGCTATTTACATAGAATCTACACCACAAGAATGGAGAGCAGACAAACCCACATACAAAGGTTTAAGTTTGAGTGAACTATTTGATCCCTTCTTTCATATATACTTATATATGAGATTTGGTTCATATCCACAAAACTTTTGACACAAAATTGCCTTATATAGCCTGCTGTTATATATAACCAATAGGGAATGATAGTTGGGGAGGAAATGGTGCTTTCCTAAGCCTTTTTTATCATGTATTTGGAACAGCAATTGGATAAGTTTTCTGCTTTCTGGTTTGAACAAGTGACCAAATGAGGAACAATGAGAGGAAAATTGGTATGTAGGAATCACCTTCACAGTGAGGAGGCTTGTTAGAATACACTAATTTAAGCAAAATGGTGTTTTAAGGAAGGTTCTCTCAGTCTCATGTTTTCAATTTTCATGTACAATTTGTGACTCATTATTTTGTGATTTGACTACTTGAATTCTAGTTAAAACAGAAATCATTTGCTTCAAGAACATGGGTATACCACCATTGTTTGGGGAAAAAAAATCTCACAAATCTCACGGTTCAAGGAGAAGCATACCTTTCTTTCAATCATTTCTTTGATTAAATCCATGATATAACTAATACATTCTGAAGAAAATAGAAAGACATTAATGTAATTGAAAGAGCTTTAAGAAAATAGATATTAAACTATAAGTTAATTATTATTTTTTTGGTAAAAAATTATTTAACCCAAACTATAATTTTTGTCAATGTAGGATATTGCTAGTTAAACCATGATCTTTTTAATCATTTATCTTTTCAATCTGGACTCTGCTGCATATATTTCAGTTTTTCCAATCACTAATGCCATAGAAGAACTTTGTCTTTAACAGTAGTACCAACTGCTTTGGGAACTGCGCTGGATATTAATTTGAGCAATGCCTCCCTTGTATGCATCTCTGTTACTTTTGCCCCAATGGTTGGTATTGCTTTTTTCCTGTTGTAGCTTTTTATAGTAGTCATATGATTTTTGTCTTTTCCCCCCTAATGCTTCTGTAACTTTTATTAAGTTTCCAATGGAAAATTATATTTTGCTTTGCTAATTCTTCAATACGTACATGGAGTTGTATCTCTAATTTCACTTGCTTTTCCTCTAATTTCATGATCTGGATTCCTTCGGCTGTAATTGGAAGCAGAAGATGTCATATGCTTTTTCCAAACATTTTATGAATTGTCATTTACTGTGAAGAGAAGAAAAGAAGAAATAGATAGAACAGAAGTGTTGTGGACTCAATTAAACATTGATAAAGAACTCGAGCTAGTAAATTTGAAGTATCCCAGAAATTCTGATTTTTTGTTGGCACATGTCTTCCTATGATTTTTATTAGTTTTGCGGGCAAATAATGCTATAATCCGCTCATGGGGGGAGAGAAGGTTGGAGCCAAAACTCAAAAATCATGTTGATCTTGTTGAACTTCTTGGAATTGCAGATACAAAGAAAGGTATTGAAGTCGCTTGCCTATTTTTTATCTCGTTCTCTAGTCAAATGATTGTGGTGAAGTATTCATACATGAGATATTCAAATGATTGTGATGAAGTATTCATAAATGAGATATTGAAATTATTGTTATGAAGTATTCATAAATGAGATGTTAAATTATTCATAAATTTAAACTGTGTTTGTGGAATTATTCATGAAGTATTCATAAAGAGAAGGGGGGGGGGGGGGGGGAAGAGATTTCTTCCACATAGTGTAGTAGCTTGGTGACATTGTGACATAACATGCTGGAAATCTAATGACAGAAAGTTAGATCTTATAGTCCCACAATTGCAAACCAATAGTTTGACTCCTTTAGAGAAGTTGCTATTGCCTAGAATGATTAGTGGCTCTTCTGTATTACCTTATATAACATGTTTCCATGGAAGCATCATGGTTTGACTTATATTATATTGTATGCTTTTCTAGCTCTTTCAAATGCATTTGTTTTACAAAAATGTCTTGTCAGTTTTTCAGTACAGAGTTATGTATGCTCAAAATGCTCAGATGTCCCCCATCACACCCACAAAACTTCACAAATGATCAGTATCTAGAAAGGTATGCTATATCTTGCTTTGTTGGTTTCTTTATATGTCCTACCTGAGTACAATAGCTTCATATTGCAGTCTGTAGTTTCTTCTGCTTGAGAATTGCGGTGGAGCAGTGTATGAGAAGGAATCGATTAACCAGTCATTAAAAACAGTACTAACAAACTATCCTTCTCGGCTATTACTTAAAGATCTTTCCTATGATTATTTTTATAAAATGATGGCGCTTTGAAATTTATATAAAGATAGACAAAGATTTGAATATAGAAAGGATTAAATCTAGAATATATAATCCATTAAGATTCTTTTTGAAAGAAGTGGTACCACAATTGATGTCAAATGTGAATTGTGAATAAAATACTCATTCCTACTCTTGTTTGATAGGCAATGGCATGAAAATCAATATGTATGGATACATATTATGCTGGTGTTATGGTTATATGAATGGAGAAACTTGATCAATGGTATAAGAAGTGGGATGGTGGAAGGGGTATGGATGGTCAGTTTGGTGACAGTGGTGTAATAGTTGTGGTGTGTAGTGATAGCCGGGTGGACAATAGTTGTATATAATGAAAATTGGGGCATCTGGTCTTGGCATGGGGTCATTGGTGTAGTTGTTAAAAGCAATTGGATATTTAGTGATAGTGCTTGGTTGGGGGGTAGTTGGTGGTCATAATAGGTATTGGTTTGGATAGTAGTGGTGTGGGGAGGGTGTTTCTGATTTCATTATTCTTTATATCCTTGTGAGAGGAATTTTTATGCATCCCATGACCTTGTCTTGCTAAGAAAGGCTGCATTCATATTTAAGAAACTTCAAGCTCCAAGGACTTCTTTTGTGTAGTAAGTTACATCAAATAAGTGAATAGGAGGAAGCTTGGTATATATTTTTATTTCTATCTCTCTACTGCTTCCTTATTCTTGGTGCATAATGTTTTGGAATTCATTATGAGAATCTTATAATTGTTTTGAAGCCCATTGAATGGAATGAGGGAATTTTGTTGAAAGAAACATGACATATGCAAACTCTTGGATTTGTCATATGCATTTATTGTCTAATATTGTATTAATAGTTTCATTGGCCATTGACTCATGTACTTTTAAAATGTTTAGATGCCAACATAGCAGGAGGTAGATGATTCTATCTAAAGGAGATGGTGTATTTCTAAATTAGGCATTGATTAACTTTGGTCTTCAATTTTTGGGAAGAAGGGATATGAAGCATTGTAGACTCCATTCTTTATGAGAAAAGATATTGTGGCAAAGTGTGCTCAGCTAGCACAATTTGATGAACCTTACAAAGTAATGATATAATACTACAGTACTTGAATGTTGTAATAAATGTAATCAATGTAATAAATGTTGTACTTTTTTTCTTTTTTGGATCTTGTATATGTTGTAATAAATATGTGAACACTTGTATGGTGATTGCAATGTAACAAAAATGATATTTAACAATAAAGCTATACAAGTTGACGTTGTATGTGCCTATGGACCTCTTAATGCTTGACTTATCTATTGCTTTCTATACTTATTGTGGTGTTATTCTTTGTTAGCGGCTCCTGTTACATTACTTCTACTTACTTCTGTTTAATCTTATAGAGAAATGCAATCTTTGGCTAGCACTCCATCATGCGAATGAATTGTCTGGTTGATGACTTCATAGCTATGAGATTGTGACTTAAAATTGTGTCCCATAGCTTATCACCCTAATAGATAGATAGATAGATAGATAGATTGAGAGACTCTGGTCCCATTCATGGGCTACCTTCACACTTGACAAATGGGATCATAGATACTAAATAAGGGAAGGAGAAAAAGGAATGGGTAGGACAAAACCAATAGAATTAAAAAAAAAAAAACTTTGGTTCATGGGAAGACAGCATGCCTTATAAGCATAAGATGGTCATATAAGATGATCTCTCTCTCTCTCTCTCTCTTGTGAGACAATAGTTTTGTGGCGTTTTAGGTAGGTTTTGTGGTAGGCTCCCTTGATGGCCAACAATTTAGTGATTTAAGAGTTTATAACATTAGAATTTTGCAGTCTTTCATAGTGTTGATGTTTGTTCTTTGTGTGGTTGTGTGTGTGTGTGTCACAAGTGTCCTTGCATCTTGAATAATTGGATAATGGGCTTGCAACATCTAATATTTGCGTATTTTATGTCAGGTTGCAACATCACTGAACTCAAATGAATGTTTCCTTCTTCAATCTGGCTCTTCAATGTTTACTTGGCATGGAAATCGAAGTCCATTTGAGTAGTAGCAACTGGCAGCAAAAGTTGCAGAATTTTTGAGGGTATATACCATGCGCTTTCTAGAATAGTTATTTCATGACAGGTAGGCTTTAAATCTATTTTTGGCCTATAAATATGCATTGGCAAGCATGACTTGAAACATATGCATGGTTCTAAAAATTGATGTTTGATTGGTGGAAAAATGTTTATTGTGAAATCTAAAACCATTACCTTTTAATTAGTGTTTTCTAAGTAGTTCAATCTTATGCTTAATTATTGTCCATGATATTTATTTCCTAGGCAAAATTAATTTTGATTGACACTTTCTGCCTAGGTAGTGTGTAAGCCATTGGGAAGTCCTGGCATTTCAAATGTTAATGGGTATATGTTAAATATTGTTGTGGGGTGGGGCCAAAAATTATAATATCTAATGTTGTACTTTGCTGAGTTTGTGAGACTTTTTAATTAAAATAATCTACACTAGTTGATTAATTAGTGAGATTCACTTGGTTTACTATACAGCCAGGAGTAACCATGAAGCATGCTAAAGAAGGAACTGAGAGCTCATCCTTTTGGTTTCTTGTTGGAGGGAAATAGAGTTACACCAACAAAAAGGTTGCTCACGATATTGTCAGAGATCCTCACTTGTTCACATTCTCATTCAGCAAAGAAGGTATCATTTCTCTTTCTCAACTTAATTAATTAGGTTATCATCTTTACTTTTCCCTTCAATTAGATGAACTTGTTACAAGTTCTTGAATACATTATATGGTCGATATTTGAACCTCTAACTATTTTTCTTATATTTATTCCTGTTGGCACATGGACTTCCAGGGAAGATTGAGGTGCGTTCTAGCAACCTTAATGTTCACACTCAATCATACGCTTGCATGATGGTTTGACAATTCTGTCATTTTATGCTGTATTTATACTATTCTTCTGTCAGGTTGAAGAAGTTTACAACTTCTCTCAAGATGATCTGTTGATTGAGGATTTCTTGATACTTGACACACATGCTGGAGTGTTTGTTTTGGCTGGTCAGTCTACAGACCCCAAAGAGAAGCAAAGTGCTTTTGAAATTGGCTAGGTGTTGCTCAATTAAATTATGTTTCTCACAAAAAATTAATCTTTTGATTGATACTTCTTTACCACTGAAGTTCATTGTATAAATACATAGACATGGCTTTAGCTCTGGATGGGCTCTCTCCCATGTACCACTTTACAAGATTACTAAAGGAAATGAACCAGGCTTTTTCATTATATACTTTTCATGGGACCCTGCAAAAGCCACTGTACATGTTGCAGCAGAATTTTATTTTCTTGGTTGTTATCGTGTTATGTTTGAATTAGGCCACAGATTATGTTAGTTTGGTTGAAGGAATAGCGGCAACTCTCGTTGTAGGCTACATAGTGTAGTAGTGCCCAACATATTTTATTGATTTTCATAATTTTATGTTTTATTACGCCGAATACACTATATTTAGGTGTGCACATCTACCCAAACCACACACATGATATGCATTATGATTTTTGAGGATTTCTTGTGCTTTTTGAGATTACTAGATGCTATCTATAATTATTTGATGCTTTTTAGAATGTATTTGTTTTTGCTATGACTGATAATACTGCAACATATTTGATTTTCTTGATATTGACTCATTTGTTATGTCTTGTTTTGGAATTTTTTAAAAAAGGCATTTTTAATTACTATAGATCAAAAGTTGACTGTTTCACTAAAATTAGTTATATGCCATTCATGGGATTTCCATCTCACTTTTTTTTCTTCTCTTGTAGATTCATCTTACTCCCATGTTATGTTGTTGTAAGTAGTGTGACCATCATAAAAGGTGGAGCCAACCTCCATGACCTCTGTTGAGATTTGTAGTTTATATAGCACATGTACAGTAAAGAGAGAATGAGCTATAGTTTTACATGTATACTTTTTAGCTTGTTGTATATCTACAGTAGTTGACCTTGCAGGATGCATTATAAGCTAGAGAAAACCTAAATGACTAGTATACATGTAAACATGCTTGTGCATGGATTTAGCTTGTCATGCATACATGCCTGCATATGCTATTTTCATGTTACGATTGCCAAGGTACGTCGTCTCGGCTCCTATGATGTTATTATGGTAGCTAGTTGTTTGTGAAGCTATAGATGATGTGCGTGAAATGATTAAATAGGTTATACAGGTGACAGACTAATAACCCAAAGGGGTTACTACAACCAGTATGCCGTCAAATTTTCGTCTCGATAGTGTATTGGTTATTGCTCCGCTGTTGCACCCAGCTTACCATCTTGGGGGTGGGTGTGACACAAAATTTTAAGGATTTTGGTTTAGAGCTCATCCATTCATTTAAAGCCCCCTTAATTCCCTTTAGTTTTTAAAGAGAGACATTGCTTGAATTCCCTTTCTTCTTTTTGCACCAAGATGCCTTTTTACCTACTTAGCTCCCTCTTTATTAATCAAAAATTAAAGAATCTAAAGGGTTTAAGTGCTAATCCTTGTACTTTTGGTTGAGGCACACCTATATAATCTAAGATAAACTTTGGTAGTTTTCATTGTCTAAGATAGTTGAACCATAAAATCCATTTTGGTTCAACTAGGAATTTGTCTAACCTACTAAGTCCTTCTTTGAACCAAGTGAATGTTCCCCCATTTAATGAAGGCACATAAGGCCTTCCTATCAATGAAATTGCTGAACCCATCCATTGCCATATTCATGTTCAAACATCCTTCCCTTTCCCTAGAATATCACCCCTAATCAACCATGGTTCTCTATTGGCACTTTTCAACCTCAATAACTTACCATTAGAAGTGTCTTTTTTCCTCTCATTGTTCGATGAAGTTATGTTAATAATTATTTGAAGTCTGTAGTTTCTTGGATATTGCTATGAGGTATGTTCGATGAAGTTATGTTAATAATTATTTGAAGTCTATAGTTTCTTGGATATTTCTATGAGGTATTTTTTCACGATCAACTTGCTTGCTTTTAAAAGTGCTATCATCTCACATAGTTGACAGTCCCTTGCAACACCTTTGGACTTGTGCAATAATTTGAAGGTGGCCTCTCCCCATCCACTTCCGAATTGCAATACCTATCAATCATCTATAACTTTATTTCTTGAATGTGAATGAACAACATTCCTTGCTTGTGTTTTTTGCATAATTTTCTCACAATCCTAGCTTTCTCTGTACTCCCAATATAACTAGCTTGCTTAGTTTTCTTGACAAGTTGACTCCATGTAATTATCTATCAGAGCTGACTCCCTCGCCTTACCTATTTCAAATTAGGCCTCCCCTATAGCAAAGCCTTTAGCTCCCTTAGTAGAGTCTTTTACACCTAGAATAGAGTTTTCTTCTTCGACTTCCTAACAAAGCACTCTATTCCCTCGACAAAGTCTTCTATTTTGTCTCTTATCAAGCGCAAGATAAAGATCCTCAACAAGGCACGGTCTCTTTAGCTCTTACTCCACATTTGCCTACCCCTTTTACTGCCTCCTTTTCTCTTTTTATTGCACCATTTTCCTTCTCATATGGCACTCTTGAGATTATTTAGGTTTGGCAAAATGAAGCACTCTAAGTTTCATGTTAGTCATCCTCCTTCTCCTTTGGAATTGAACTTGCCTCCAACTTGCTTGAAGTGGGCCTTCCCCCCCCCCCCCCCTATCATGGACTCCTTGCCATCTTTCCTAGCTGGGAAGACATCACCCTAGATTCTCAACAAGGACCTAGTTTGGTTCGTTATCCAACGGCTTTCTTCACCACCATTCACCCTAACACATGAAGTAAGTAGTTGCTTCTCCTTTTCCACATGCATGGGAGGGCTTATTCTACTCCGATAGTCCTTCCTTGCTCTCCCAAAAACTTGCTCCATTTTTTAGTGGTTTGCACCTACTTTATGGGTGGTCTTGTTTCGCGTACTAAATTCTTGGTAGTTATCCCTTGCAACTAGTAACTACATGGGTAGCACCTCATGTTGGTTTTCCCCCCAACCCTTGTGTTCTCCCCTTGGGCACTTCCTCATGGGCATCACCATCCTTCCTTGTGCTATAGAGTTCCTCTCTTGCCTCAGGTGGTAACTCCATGGCTAGTTTAGGTGGCACTTTTTCTCAATGTTCACTTGACACTTTGACCACCCTATAAGTTGATATACATAAAATGTTACACAAAATAGCATAATCAGCAGAAAGACTAAACCTCGAGCCATTGAAGTAAAGCTATAGAAAAATTAAGAAAATTGATAAAGATTAGTTGCTACAGAGCCTTTTGACCAATGAACAATTCCATATGATGGATTGGTGATTTGAATTAACTTAACCAGGCCCTTTATCTGTCCTATTTATAGACCATCTACTACATAGATGATCAAGTAGTTGATTAAAATTAAAGTCCTACTTGATAACCACTAAGCACATCTCTTAACTTTAAGAGATAATGAATGTTATGAGATACTGAATGAGGAGCATATTTTGTTTTTCAAGATAATATATATAATTTCTTATCAATAATAATAAAATAATCCAACATTCTCCTACGTGGTTCGGATGTACACTTATCCTTCACGTGTAATAACATCCATAATCCATTAGATAGAATAAACAAAGACAAATCATGTGAATCATGGTGCTGAGTTCTCTAATCAATGAAGTTTCTTGTATTACAATGTAATTCTTTTTGAAACATTAGGTATATATCATCCTTATGAATGAGTCTTAAATACACATTCAACTCCTTTAAAACATTTATCGTACTCCATGAATAACACAACCAAAATGAGAAGACAAACAAATAAAAGAATTTCTTTATTCATAAAATTTTATGAAAATAACATTTTAAATTGAAAGTGACTAAACCAAATTGAGTCCTTATGAGTTACATGATCTAAAATCAACCTTGATGGCATGCCTTTTGTTTAAGGATTTGCAATCATATGTTTTATGTTTATGTGTTCAACAACCACTTTATTAAATTTAACCCACGCTTTCATGGTTAAGTACTTTATGTCGATGTAATTGATTCGACTTCGATTTTATTATTTATTATTCTTATCCAAGATCACAATAATAGAATTGTTACGATAAATCTTGATCATACTTGAAATTATTTCAACAATTCTAAGCCCAGAGATGAAATTCTTCAATCATATAACTTGGGCAGTTGTGTCACACCTCACCTCAGAACCGAGTGATGCATGATAGTGGAATAAAGTTTAATGGCCTCTCGTGCCCAGATTCACAAGAGAAAGCTAAACTCTATTTTACTATTACACCCTGCCAAACTATACAACTTTAAACACTGTTACTAGAACAATTCCACAACTACGTTCCCAAATTTTTGTTGGACATATAAAATAAGTAATACAATAACTATTCTTTTAAAATTCACAACTAATACATAATACAACTTTTGCTCTCTCTGTGTCTCTCTCTTCAAAATTTAACAGGCCTAACCTCATTACAACTAGGTATACTAATTTAGGTGATGTGGATACTATAGCAGCTAGCTAACTCTACTCTAGACCTAAAAAGCAATAACAAAGAAATGAGACTTACATCCTAATGAATAGTCATCTAGCTAAAATCAAGAAAACAGGACAAATTTTCATATATTCATACATATATTTTTCCAAAACATTTTCTCAATTAAAATAATAATTCTATGAACATCATTTGGAGGACATCATATAAATATACTTGCAAAAACCACTGTCTTTTCTGTAAAATAGATATCATGTAATTGTTCAAACCTTTGCTTTTAAATAAAATTATAACAATTCACCAGTTGAGCCTGCAAATCCAACCATAGCTAAAATACATTAATAGGCCAATAGTGGAAGTAAAAATAAATAGTGACTCACTTTGAATTCTTTGTAGTCATATGTCCACATAGACATCTTTGTAAAATCATTTAATTGTATACTCATAACTGTAAAAGAATCTATGGGTGCTATTGGCTATGAAATTCACTCCATGTCACACCACTCCCATGGGTAAACAAACATAGCTTTCGGTGACTTTGTGGCACCTCTGGATAATAAGTCATGTGGAATTACCACATAAGCTATGGCTACCCAATAGATT